TCACACGATTTTTATCGCATTAAAACAATGCCATTGTTGCAGAACGCTGAAGTATAAAAGATATTGTTTTTAGTTGGAAAATAAAAATGTTTATTCTTAGTTGATAACAAATCAGAGAAATCTTATGAGTTATAGAATGAATTAAAGCGGTTGTAACTTATATTCATATATATATATATATATATATATATATATATATATATATATATATATATATATATATATATATATATATATATATATATATATATATATATATATATATATATCCGTGTCAAGGCGATTTCGTGTAAAGTACTGAAAAAAAAAATTAATTACATTTATACGCTCGTATTTTAAATATTTAAAACAATAATATATTATGTGTCATTTCTATTTTTCATTATGATTTATTGAGCAGACGTCTACATGCATCTCTAGATGGCCGTGATTATACTCGGACAAGATCATGATGATACAAAGATACATATTCATATTATTTGTTATAAATTCAATTTTCAGAACTTGATATTTAAGTAATATGGTGTTATAGTTTTTATTAAACAGACAAATGAGAGAGAGAGAGAGAGAGAGAGAGAGAGTAATATTCAGTTTTAGCCCCCCCCCCCTCCTTTCAGGCTTCACCAAATGTTTGTACCTATATCAAACAAAAACTCGGAAATTTTTTTCTAAATATATCAGACAGTGAAAGTAACTTTTTTTTTTATCAAAAAATCATATCCATTTGTTTGACAGTCACACTCGTTTTTTATTTTCCTGCTTCAAGTTCACACGAAGTCCACGTGCTTGTCCTGTCAATCAAAATCATTCGACACTGTGCAGATGTGAAAGTTTCGTCACATCGAAGACGAAGTGCGAGTATTTCCAACAAGTTATAACATTTATTTTTATCATTTCTAGATTTGATTCCAACATTTGAATAATAAATTAGTAAAATACATTAGGCATTAACACTTGAATGTGAAACATACTCTCTGCCAATTTTAAATACCACCGCCGACACGTGTACATTTTGATCTACTATTGTTTTTGTGACTTTTTTTAGATGCATGTTTGTTTTGAGACTGAAATTTTTGTTCTAAAAAAGACCGTAGTTTTTTTTAAATGTTAATTAAAACATTCTGGAAATATGGTACTGACTAAGTCACCGATTTAGGGGGAAAGGGGGGGGGGGGGTATTAATCATATCGATTAGCAAACATATAAAGTTACGGTGAAGAAAGTTTTTTTTTTTTTTCTCTATAACTATAGACTTTACTTATTACAGTAGAGAAATTCTGTAGTGCATTACATTTTGAATAAATATTTCCTTTAACCACACTATCAGTTTAATTCGTTCTAAAGATAATAAATTAACAGGATATCCGCAGTACTATGTATAACTCTCAGAACTAGTACTAGTTCTATTATATATTCTGTAGTAATTGAAAAAAAAACGTATTAGAAATAAATATTTTCGTAATTTTGCTGCGTAATTATTTGACTTGAATAATTATATCTCCATTAATGATTTGTCGTCTTTAACAAAACAACAAAAGGTTGTGTCTTTCTGACATACTTTCTATTCATCAATAAAAATATGCATGCATATTTTTATTGATAAATAAAAAGTATGTCAGAAAGACAGTTGCAATGCTTGAAGTATTTGCACATTGCCCTTAGTTAAATTTTATATTTCAGCATCGTTCTACATAGGTACAGAATGTGCTTGTAACAACATTTATTTTCCAGAGTAATTTAATAAATAACCTAACAGCTAAGTTAAAATAATAAAAATATATATCGTAGATATTTTTCCTCATGAAATAATGATTCTTCAAACACGATATGTTAGTTAATAAATTAAAAAAAACCTGTATCTCCTTAACTACAAAAAGATAAGTCCTTTCACTTCGGAGTTCCGAATGGCAATGAAAACTGAACGATAGGTGAACGCTGAACGCAAGGTGAACGCAAAGTGAACGGAACGAAGAGCGAACGCTGAACGCTTTGTGAACGGTGAACGCGAGCGCACGGTGAACGGTGAACGCAAAACTGTGAACGGAGAGCGAACGGTGAACGCACGGTGAACGAACGGTGAGCGAACGGAAAAATGGGAAAGTAGAACGTTTCAGGGACTGTATGTATGTATACGTAAAATAATAAAATAATAAAATTTCATTTGTAGCTGCACCACAAGGCATCAAAAATGGGATCCTTTATTCACCATTTTTCACTTTTCTTCAAAATTTCATTTTTTCCATCTACTATGAACAATGATACATACATTTATTGGTACTGTTTATGATACATGGCAAAATTTTATTCTAAATTATAAATACAGTGATACTATTTCTTACAACAAACTCTTAGCATTTTTTTTCATAAATGACATGGTTGCCATGGTAACCAATTCACAAATTCACTAAAATACCAGAACATATTTCAGAACGAGTCAATTTTGTTTTCAAAAATTTTAAATATAGTGATACTACTTCTTTGGACACACTTTAAACATATTTTTTTTTTTGACAAATGATATTGTTGCTATTCAAGTAAGTTCACTTCATAAAACTGTTATTTTTTAGATTAAGATAGAAATTAAAATCGTAAATAATATAACTGTGCGTAGGCCCCTTTAACAGTCTTTAAACAGTAAAATAAAATGCAATTATTCAAACCAGTTATATACAGTCTACTCCTCCTGATTCTCCACTAGAACCTCATCTTCACTGTCAGAAAAGTCAACAGTTCTAGCTGCATCTTCTACCAATTCTGTCCAGTCACGAACTCCAAATTCACGGACTTCTTCTTTTTGATGTCTGGCATACGATAAAAACCAAATAACACAGGCAATATGCCCACACATGCCTACTACACGGGCTCCATTTTTACAAGTACAATACCATGAGAGGATTGAAGTGTCATATTTTACCGAAAGACTGTACTTTTTAGAACTAACATGACGACTTTGGATTCTAGCACTAATGATGTTAGGAATCTCATTGCTGACAAGAACTTCAAATGATCCATCGTCTGTAAAATGCTCCGATGAGTAAGATTTTGCTGTTTTTAGCTGATACACGCCAATCGCTAGCTCTCTGATTTCGTCTTCCGTGAGTTTAGGAAATGTAATGCTTGTACTAGTTTCTTCTGCATCTAACTTCTGCCACTTCATAGACCGTTTATCCAGACCTGGAATACATGTAGCTTATTAGATTTTAATGGAGCAAGTAAAAAAAAATGACCCTAAACATTATCTAAACATTATATCTGATTAAATAAAATTTAATTCTAAGAGCAATGTACAAGGATGCACAATTTTATATTTATTCTATATTTTATGGCGTGGAATATACTTTAATATTATATATATATATATATATATATATATATATATATATATATATATATATATATATATATATATATATATATATATATATATATATATATATATATATATATATATATATATTAGGGATGGCAATCGAATACAGAACTGCCAATCGGTTAACCGCAAGACGTTCCGACCGATTAATCGGTTAATCGTATCAAAAATTCTTGACATATTTCATTATTGTAAGCTCTGTTAAAAAAAACAAGGTTATAAGGATGTTACATATGTTGAATATGATACTTACGTAAATATTTGAACAGAACACTATTTATATTTTATTTCAATTATAATAGGCAAAAACAAATTAAAAGAAAGAAAGAAGAATTAAGAAACCAAAAAATATTGAGAAGAGATGTCACGCAAGCTCATTCTGCAGTATCGCTATACTCAATCTGAACTACCGCTTAATTTACGATGATTGTTTAATAAATTATAATTGAAAGGTAATTACAAAGGAAACACGTAAAAGAGACAAGGTACACATTATAATCGATTCACGATCATTTAATTAAAGTTATTAAAGAAACGCGGGACAGGCTGGGTAACGACCTTTCATGGTGTTTTAACGACAATTATCATCTTGAAAACTGACCAATTACTCGCACGATGTCAATCCAGAGAGCCTTAATTATCTCAAAATCAGTTTAAATAGATAGATTTCAGATATTTTTATCTGTGTTTTTTAATTTTTTTTTTCAGGAAATTGTGTTAAAATGTATATACATTGTAAATTTTATTTTTTTTTTCCAGGCAAACCTATTATAGATTTTCTAACCGATTACCATCGTTCCGACCGAGTAATCGGTTAACCGGTTACAAATTGACATCCCTAATATATATATATATATATATATATATATATATATATATATATATATATATATATATATATATATATATATATATATATATATTAAATATTATATAACTAGTATTCAAGAATTAAACTATATTGCTACATTGTAATGCTGATTGGTTTCTGAAATCACAAACCATTTTCCTGCACAAACGACTGAAGTTCATTCGATTGCTTTGCCAACATAGTCATCTGAGAAGCTATAGCTAGATCGTCTTCAAAAGTGCCTGTATTAATAGGAGGTCGGTATTTGTTACAAATACTGCAAACAATTCGTAGGTAGTCCCCGATATATGGGATTTGAGTGTTTGGTAAAGTCTTCCCGAGATATTTCCATGTCTTAATCCTCCCATTAACTGACTCCACCACCCACCTAACCTGAAACATAATAAATACTGTAGCAAAATCCTAATCAAATAACTGTAGAAAAAGCTTATTTTTATTTATTATCATTATTTTCTTAATAACTTCCTAGAATATTAAAGAATATAATCTTTAAGTGAAAAATAAACTCAAAATACATAATATATATACTACAGGAATATATTTTTATAATTTTGTGTAGGTATATGCTTTTTCGATTGTTTAGACGCATTACCTTCGTCACAAGTCGAGAACAGTTTGCCTCCTCTGTAGTAAGTTGTCTCTTTCCTTTTTGAAGAAAAGCAGGCATTTCGACCTTTATTCCCAAATCTGTCAGCATGTCCTCAGAGTCTCTAAAACCCCTGTCGACAACAAAAACATCATCTTCCCTTATCCAAGATTTCATTTCATCTGTATTTGATTTAACAGAGTGATTTAGAATCAAGGCATCATTATTTCTGGGATCTGCAAGATAGGGTCCAAAGACTGAAACGATGTACCCTGTTGTCGAAACAATCATCATGGGTTTCAAGAGCGGGCGATGCTTGTGCATACTGTATGATCTCCTGCTAAATGTATAATTCCCACTCTTCTGTATATAAATATACGTGCCATCTAGGACTAATATGGCAGGTGTTGATCCTACAGTAGAGAACATCTGTTGGGCAAGTGGTCTTGTGTGACTGTCAATGATATCATTTCTTGTGATGTGTGCAAATCCCATATTTCGGGAAACGAAGTCCTTCATCAATGCTCGTCTAGCGGAATGCACGGCTCTTCGTATCTGTATATTAAATAAAGAGCATTTAAATGCACATGTTTTGGCAGTTTGGTAGTCAAAGCAAAAATGCCATTAATTTTTTTCATATTTCTGAAGAGAAGAGTGGTTAGTTGCATTTTAAATATACTGAAGGTCAAATACATACTTAAGCTATACAGAACTATACATAAAATAATAATGTTTATACCTGGAATTTAGTCATATTAAACAGCGTAGCTAGCATCTGATTGTCCAAGCCCGATTTCAGTTTCATCAGGAGAATTGCAATGCATGTGCGGATGGACCTAGTTTGTGTTGCCCGTATGTTATGTACCCCGCACATCAAGTCGTCAAATTGTACCCTGCTAAGTCCGGTCAGATTGTAATAATCAGTGTCAGCTAGACTAGACGGATCATCAAAGTCCAGTCTTGAACCCTCTTTCCTCAAAACCTCTTCCCTCGCCTGTTGTAACAGCTCCAGAACTGAAGACCTATTTAATTAACTTGAATTTTTTGATGTTCTGATTTTCTCAATCGTTTCAGCTGAGAGTTGGTCTTTTTCAAGGTGGACAGGGCAACACCGAGACCAGGGGGGAATAAATATCTCTCCTTGATCGTGTATATGTAGAGGCCACCTGCAATTTTGGTCCAGGTCTTTTGCAAACGAAACAATACGAATGGCCTGTGCTAGTGCTTGGAATAGCTAACCTGACTGACGGCGGACTTCTATCTGGTAGAGATCTTGTAACTTTAGGAGGGGGTTGGTACTCGTCTTCATCACACTGTTTATCAGTCTTAGTGGTCTCATTCCGTTTTTGTAACAGATGTGTGAGCACTTGTTGCATATAACTGAGGATTCAGATATATCATAAACACAGAAATATTTCTGCAAAGTCTTTTTCCTTATTTCGTTCACCTTTCTCCTGCCTTGGGCTTTGTGACGATGGCGACAAAGAATGCAATAAATATTTCGATCCATGATTTGTACTGAAATAGATATAAAATATAATTATAAAACATAAACTGCATTCATGTAAATTAATCTTCATATAAAAAAATAAATAAAATGCACGAAATTCATAATGCATAATGTATTTTTAAAGTGTTTTTTCGAGAGATATTGTAAAATTAGTATTTCATAAAACTCCAACATTTTAAGAAATTCACCCTTTACTAAATCTTTTAATGTAGCTTCGAGTTTTTGATTGACTGACATTGACGGAATTTTGTAATACGTTGTAATATTTTCTCAGTCCTGATCAAATTGACTATCTAACCAGAGATTGATCTACAGGTATTTCAATAATTGTGCACATTTGCAGCATGGACCCCACCTTTTTTTATTTTTAAAATCATTTTTATATTAGGATCGCGGATCAATGATATACATTTTTCCTATTGCTTTCTAGAGTAGATGGATATATTTATATATTAGTGTAACCCTCTCTTTTCAATGTGCAATCAGTTAAATTTGATAACATTAAACTTATAATGCATGTCAGAAAGCATGAATACGGAAACCTGTGTTGTTGATCCAGTATAAAAAATATATTTTAAAAAAGGGGGGTGTTTCATCCCTTTGTGCCTGTGTTGACATTCCATGTGTAATATATTTAGGTATTTTCTACTTTTAGTTTAAAATTCTCTAAGTCTAAATATGTTTGTAAATTGCAACAAAAAAAAAAAAAAAAAAAAAAAAAATCAAGCTATACGGCAAGGATTTGAACCCTTTCCTCATAACGGGAGTGTAATGGCATGGACGCTCTAACCACTACGCTATCGCCGACACACACAATTTAGACCGTTTTAAAGATGTATTTGTTATTATGAAAGGAAAATATTGTATATCTAATTTGTTTACAAATAGTGTAATAATGTTCTTTGTCTCTAACCAAAGTATAGTCTTACAAGTACAAATTTAAACTTAACGTAGATTCAAACTCGATATATGTATAAAAATACTAAATGATATTATTTTATACGACAAAAGGGCGATGCATGCTAGATCGCTTTCAATGCAGACGACAGTGTAGAGTAACAGTTTTTATTTATTCACTTTACAATCCAAATTTTAGGATCATTATGTTTAAAAAAATTAATATTTTGAGTTATTCTCGCAAATATGTAAGCGAGCATTGGTACGTTTCTATGCCTAACTTGTGAGGGTATCAGTCCATTCTTTTTATTGTTAACTTCGTCGTTCAGGCTGATTAAATCTTTTATTAATTTTCAAAAAGTTGCAAAAATATATCTTACCTTATGTTCGACGCTTCTGTGTTGTATCCATCATGAAAACAGTCGCCAGTGTACAAAAGCCTTAAGCTACAAACACCTACGTGCCCTGGTATATTCCTGAATCCGCCACCGGAAATCGTCGAAAATATCAAAATAAAGGGTCTGAACATGCCTCGAGCAACACAAAAAGCAAATAAAATTTTGTTTCGTTTAAGAAGAAATTAGAAAATCGCCATTTAATTTGCTCGAGGACTGTTCACTATCTTAATTTTACAATTTCATGATGAAATTTGTGTTGAAAATTGGTATTTCCGGAAAAAACGGAATATTCAGCCTGCTCTGCACTTTGCTGTGGCGAGTTTCAAAAATTTTATTATGCAAATATGGTATCTATAAGTAGTTAATTTTCTTTGTATGAGAATATTTTTTGGGATTGATGCATTATTATAATCGGGAAATCCCTGGGCCTTCGTAATATGACTACCGTACCTACTTCTTTAATACTTGTAAAGCTGAAATCTAAATGATAAAGTATTATGGTAAAACACGAAGTCACTATGCTTAGTTTACAAATCCTCTTTATTTATTTGGTTTTTGTCAATAATTTAGTGGATTGTAGTTAAAATTCAGATTGTAATTAATTTTTATTATTTCTACATAATGGTGGAAATTTTTCGATTTTTTGTGTAAATGTCGAAATTCTCCTAACATTAATATTATAAATCGTTTAATTACAGAGATTTTCAGATGATGGTTGCCCAAAAATCCGTAGACAAGTGTTGTTTCTCACAGGTACAATAAATTTATAAAACTCTATAAATAGATTTATTATTAATACAAGGAATACCAAATAAATTTATCTACAAATACTTAGTATTTTCACGGAGGAAATAAATGCAATAAATTAAATATAATTTTATTCAATGTCTGATATTCAAAGTCTGCGATATATCCAAAAATCGCAATTAAATATAAAAATCTTGGGAAAAGAATAGGAGACCGGCAGAAGGAAAGGGTCAAAGAAATCGGATTTAACAAAATTAATAAACTTGTCATTATAGATCATCAACTACTACAACCCCCCCCCCCCAAGAAAATATATTTCAGAGTAGAAATCTAAATAAATGCTAATAACGCTCGTCATTAATACATGTAAATTATGTCATGACTTTTTGTTTGCTTGTTCAAACATTTCTTTGTAGATCCCCCAAAATGAAATAACATCCTATGTGTGAAAGTGTTATATGTATAAATATTTTCAGTCAACAGAATTTGTATCTGCTACAACTACGTGTGTGCTAAGCTGTCATATATGTGAACATTTATATATCAGATACTGAAAACCTCGTGTTACATGTAAAATGTTAAAAATACATAAGAACACAAAAATAAATAAATATAAACAAAGTGAAATTCCACTTTTCGGACTAAATGATTATAAATTATTGCTATTAGACTTTGTGTTAACTGTTACCATAAAACTTAAATAATATATGCCTATGTATATTATATAAGAAGATTATTTTTGTAATTTTAATTCGTAATTTTCATTAATTTTCGTAATTGGCTGAAAGGGCATCACGTGATATTCGTCCATTTGTGATATTCACGCATCCACGCTCCGCCCACCGATGGTAACGAAAGTCACGTGGTTGCAGACTCCAACAAACTAACGTAAACAACATGGATGCGAGTTACAGAAATCGCACGGAAAAACTTTTCAATCGGCTTGTTTGCTCACGATTTTTTACAGATATGTTTCAGAGAGATTTCAAACACAAAATAATTTTAGTAAGGAGAAGAATAATTTTAACCTTTACCGATCTAGATCGGTACTGCATCCGACTTGAAGGTCAGTTCAACGGTCTACGAAATTTACTGTTCTGATACGTACTACAGAGAAGAGATCTAGAAGGAAACGTTATTAATTTTCAATGTTTACAATAAAATTGACAATTTTTGTTTGTTGTTTAGTTAGCATTAAAACCTCAACCGCCGAGAGATTTTCCCCCAATATTCCATGTATTCATCGTTAATGACTAGATCTAATCAAGAAAATGATATGCAATGTATTTGTGTTTATCTATTTTGAAAGGTTGCTTATGCTAGTGCTGATCCGAAGGGAGTCAGGACTCTCCTACCCCTTGAAATTTTCATAACTGTCATATATATAAAATAACCTTTTAAAAATGCACTATTTGGAGCACATCCCTCTGTTTGGATATTATTTTTTGTCAAAGATTTCTGAAAGATGTAGTAACTCAATCATCACCACCCCTCTCTCCTCCAATCGTTTTGATTTGGACAAACTGATTATAGTTCAAATATTTTCATTTCTTTCTTTAATTTTTTTTTTTTTTTTTTTTTTTTTTTTTGGTCCTCTCTGCACAGCACACTTAAAGAGTTCTGATTCTGTGGTATTTTTATGCAATTAGAACATTCTGTCCCTAGTTCTAAAAATAAAAGAATTTGAAAACTACAATTTGTAATAAATTTCTGAATATTTTAATAGACCAAGATAAATTAATTGAATACTTTATGATTCTTTAACTGGATGTATTTTTCTCAAATGTTATAAAGTGAACAATAGATGTTTTTGTTTGTCAATATTATCTTTTATTAACCATTTTTCCTGGGGGTAAATGCAAGGTACCCTTGTTGAAAATGCATTGGGCATGCTCAAAATTTACACCTTCATACAATTTAATTTTCTCAATGTCTAAAAAATATCTGCTTAAGTGCATAAAGGGTCCTTAAAACTATAAATGGGGTACAAACTTGAGTTAAAAATTCAGTTATTTTTTCACATAAATTTGAAGGAAAAAAATTTCCCTGTGTTGGTATGTTAGTACTAAATAGACTTTCAAGATTTTAGTCATGTTTAAAATAAACAAAGATATTCATTCCAAATCCAATGCATGCCCCAATCTGTTCTCAGTTTATGGTTCTAGGCATGGACTTTGATACATATTTCAGAAATCCTTAATGGTTCTAGGGTATCATAAGTAGAAATTACATTGAAAAGACTGTTTAATGATCAAAACAGTCAGTGTACTTCACTAATGACACACAAACTTAAGGACTTAAGGGGTTAAGGAAAATATTCACATATTGTTGTACAAATAAATTGCATTTAACAGTTCAGATTGCTAGGTTTGAAGAACAAACATGTCTTCCTCAGCATTGTATATTCCAGGAGGAATCAAAATTTAATTCTGTATTGATATCATAAATGTTATTCCACAGATACCCATAAAGAGATACAAGATGTCCAAAAGAAAGAAAGACAAGGTACAGATACACAGAAAAGTTAAATGATATTGTACATTTCATATAAAAGTAATAATAAAATTGTTTATGTCAAATTTAAAAAGTATTATTTCTCTTCTATCAAATTTCCCAAGGCAGTGATATACATTTACAGGGTTAGATGTTTGAATATTTAATTTGTATCAGTTGTTTCTCAGTGTATGATCTCAGTGTATAAATCATTTACTTATATCAGTATGACATATATTTTTGGGAATTTCATCTATGACAGCACTACACATTTCATAATGTTATTCATGTTTTTCATCACCTTTATGAACTATACACTTGTTTATGCTATTCAGCACATTGTGGATACCACAATATTACATAAACAAACATGTATTATGCTAATGAATTCATTAGATAAGTGAAAAGTCTGCTTCTCCTGAAATCAGTGAAGTCAATGAAAGTCAATCACTCATCTTTAAACCTAACATAACATGTATAAGGTCAACACATGCACACAGTCAATCACTGACACACCAAACATTGATGCTACACCCTTTAATCCAAAATTGTGCCTTAGCCTCATCAGTATTGATATACAATTATGGACTATTTACACAAAAAATACCTATAGTGACCAAGACCATTCTTTTGTCATTTGTATTTCCCCCTTTTTCTCTACACACAGTGGAATTGTTTTGATTTTAAAAAAAAATCTAATAAATTTTCGATAATGTTTCATGTTGGTATAAATACAGGTAATACACACATCACTGACATATATCCTTTTTTACGGTATTACTGTTTTCTTCATGGCAAGTGGGCCTTGTTTTTCTCCTGCTGCTATGTGGAGTTGTAGACGATTACTTAGTCTGTTTTGTAGGTTCTCTCTGTTTTTGTTGTAGTTCTACAACATGGCGAAATTAATCCAGATTCCTTAAAATGAAAAATAAATTTCTAAAGGTCTATGAGTATAACACAAATAAATTAAAGTAAAATATAACAATACCTAAAATGTGCTTTCTGATTAAATTAGAAAGAGATTTTAGAAGTATTGATTTACTTCAAATATTACTTCAAGTATTGATTTACTTGGTATTTAACTGCATAAAAAACATTGATATCAAGAATAAGTGGCTTAAGAGATTTTGATGCATTGTGAAAACAGTTACTTTTCTTTTGCAGTTCTCTTTCACCATAATCATTTTTAAATTACATAACTAACTGGAAAACTAGGGTATGGTGATGTTCCTATTGTATATACATACATGTAGCCTTATGACAATTCATTTGGACATTCTGTTATGACACACGAGTGAAGATTCTCTTCCGTTTCCTCGTGTGCTCCATCATTGATCCTGAATGCATGCAATATTTTATTAAAATATAAATAATGCATTTGACTTGTAATCTTTTAAATGTTTTTAAATCTTGATCTCATAAACAAATTTGCAGTTAACTATCCTCAGCGTTTTCACCAAGACTAAATATTTATCGATAAAGTATAGTACAGAAATGAATATAATAATTCATCTGTGATTTTACTATGTCAAGTTTTCATGGTATAATGATATCTTCACTTGAACAAACATACTGGCTTTGTAACTAAGTTTCTTCATAACAGATACTTTTCTTAACATAATATCAGTAAGCTTACAACTCGTCTCGATAATTCCAAACAAGTCTTTCTTGGGATTTTGCTGCATACAGTCAGTATTTCATGACCCATAAATGCTACAATTAATTTAGAATCATAAAGCTATATACAATCACAAAGTGTTTCAAAGATAAAGCATTGTAAAATTACCCACAAAACATTTTTTGCAGCATTCTCATTTAATATCGAGAATTATATTCAGTTCACCGAGATTTATAGCTTTGAACGGTCGAGTCTGAGCACGTTTGTAAATCACTATTGTACGTGATACAACATAATCTAAACATTGTTCTCTTTAATTGCCAATTATATTATCACTAACTTTGACATTAATATACGCGAATAACTTATTTTTTAACAGACAGCTGTGTTTCGGTCTTCCACATGACATGCCTTTATCAGCTGTTTATGCAACGTATACACTTGCTTTTCCGTGTTTTGGACTTACGAAATGAATAAATCTCACCTTGTGTATTCTTTCCGGGTACCTCGTATCATTATTACATCTATCCCATGCATAGGTCCTCAAAATTTTTCGCTACACAGCGGATATATTGCATTAAACGATGTCATCTCGCACCTCCGACATCAGTGTTTTGTCGGAGGTAATGGCGGACAATGTTTCCGCGATTCTCATTGGCTGTGCGGAGATGGCAACTGCGTCACCCGTGACGACGTGGAAGCGTGAATTGACGCAAAAGCGGGTCCGCGGAATATGATATCGCACGACTCACCGTTCGGCTGCACCGAAGTTACGTAGAACTTGACGTCATAATATAAGAAACATGTCTTTACCATTGCGACGTACAGCAGCCAAGTCTGTTCAGTTAGGACTGTAGATGATCGAATGACTTCCAGTGATGGCATGTGAATAGGATCTCGAAATTTGTTGTTAGGAAATCCATTGTAATCCACTTAATTTGGACAGTAACTAGAATTATTTCGCTGACAGACTTAAGCATTTATAATTCTGCGTAATTTGAAAGGATTATTCAGTGAAGATGGTGTGAAAAAATGCAGGCTGGAGCCTGGTGGAAGTTGTAATGGCACGCCAAAGAAAAATGGATTCGACAGTTTACTGAATTCTTTTAAGGACAAATGTTCAGAACTTTTAGAGAGTGAAGTTAATATTCATGAAACAGTGGAAGCTGTGAATGAACATCTGAAGCAGGAAGGCGCTGAAGCGTCTGGCGAAGACAAGGTAGCTGTGAAAGTAATTTCTTTAATGATGCCGGTTCTCGAGGTAATGATTTCCGCGAGAAGAAACGACAAACTTGACATCCATGAAACAGCGATAATGAAACTTAGTGCTGAGGTGAGAAAAATTTCATATAGTTCTGACTCTCTAAACCAATACTCCAGGCGTGAAAATATTCGTATTTCAAATGTACCGGAAATGGAGGGGGAGCAAGGTGAAGTCTTGATAAAGACATTAATAGAAATAGGTGATGCAATAAACGTAAAAATCAAACCAGAAAACATAAACGACATCCATAGGATGGGGCAAAAACGCCCAGGGAAAATGAGACAAATCATAGTAAGGTTTGTACAGCGTGAACCTAGACACCAATTACTTCGTAACCGGTTCGATCTTAGAAAAACAGAACAATTTGAAAAAGTATTCATTTCCGAAGATCTGACCCAGTTGAAGTTCAAATTGCTACAATATGTAAAGAAGCAAAGCCAGGTTAAATCTGCATTTCCAAAAGATGGGAAAATAATCTGCACCCTTCAGGATGACAAGAAGGAAGTGGTCGATACATCAGATGATCTCTTTAAGCTGGGAATTGATGCGATTGATTTTAAAGCCTTGGGACTGTCAGAAAGCGTGCTTTCTGGAAGTTCCGGTGATTTGCGTTGTAAAGACGATGATACAAATGAAGAAGTCTCTTGTGAAAATGCTACTGTACCAATTTGTAAATTTCAGAAATCTGATAAGCAGATTAAAGTGTTGCATTTGAATGTATGTGGGATAGTGTCTAAAATTAAAACCCCTGATTTCATTGAATATGTTTCACAATTTGATATTTTATGCTTCACTGAAACTAAAATTGATGTTTATGATGATATAGGTATTCATAATTATGAATTACTACCACCAATCATTCGTCAGAATTGTAAACATAAATCAGGTGGTATTGCAGTCTTTGTCAAAAGTGAAATTTATAGATATGTTAAGGTCGTTGATACATCTAGTCAATGCATTTACTTATTCTCTGTTGAAAATATTATGCAACATGACACTTTATTTGGGGTTGTATATATTCCCCCAGAAAATAGTCCTTATAGTTCTGTTGATATGTTTGATGAAATTGTTAATAAGTTAGTTACAGTTGATAAAAATTACCAAGTGTGCCTACTTGGAGACTTTAATGCTCATACAGGGTCTCTTGCAGACTACATTATTGTAAATGACACTATTCTCGATAATCTGCTGATTGATGAAGACTCCAGGAAGGATATGAACAGTTTAAATTCCTTATACGAACTTGGTATTCCAGTACAGAGGTATTCAAAGGACAAGCGTGTTGATAATTATGGAAATAAACTACTTGAAGTTTGTAAAACCTTAGATATATATATTGCAAATGGTAGAATCGGTGATGATAGTTTTGTAGGTGCTGCAACCACAAGTAAAGATACAGTTATTGACTACGTTATAGTGTCTCCATCTTTATTTGATAGTATTTCTTCTTTCAAAATTTGTAATTTTGATCCTATGTTGAGTGATATGCATTGTCCTGTTATTGTGTACTTTGATACTGTGTTTATGACAAAAACAGATATAAATGAGCTTTCTTGTAAGTTTAAAGAAAATACTGTAGAAAATCTAGTTGTTTTAAAACCAAAGTGGAAAAGTAACAATGCACATGTATTTATTGAAAATTTAAGTGAATAGAGTATAAATGAATTGCTTATGAATCTTGAGAATGTTGACATGAATCAAGTCGATATTGGTTTTGTAAATCAGGTTGTTACTAATTGTAATTCTATAATCAAGAATGCAGCAGAAAAGGCAGATATGTTTATTGTGACTAAAAACAATGTGCAGAGGTCTGTAAGTTCTAAACTATGTAAACCCTATTTCAACAAAGAATGTTATTTGAAACGTAAAGAGTATCACAAGTGTAGAAATCTCCATTGGAGACTTAAAAGAGCTGAGACAGAACAGAGTTTATTACAAAGTAGTAGAGACTATAAAAAAAACTTTAAATAAACAGTTTAGAGAATATCAGAAAAATTTTATTAACAAACTGAGAAATTTACGTAGTACTGATGCGAAAGCATATTGGTCATTATTGAATAAATGTGACAGAAAGGGTAGTAAAAATGTTGGAAAAATTGCGCTTGATGTTTTCTATGATCATTTTAAGAATATGAATGCTTTAGATAATGATTCTGATGATGATGTCAATCAGCTTCCTAATGTAACTGATTTTAATATTGAATTGAACCAAGCTATTACTGAAACGGAAGTGTTAAATGCTATAAAATCACTGAAAAAACAACAAAGCATGTGGTGGGGATCTAATATTGAATGAATTCTTGAAAAATACAACTGCAAAATTAATGCCTGTATTTGTAAAAAAAATTTAATATTGTTTTCATGACTGGTATTGTGCCTGACAGTTGGTCGGAAGGTTATATTTGTCCAATATACAAAAACAAAGGAGATCCTAATGATGTAGATAATTATCGTGGTATTACCATTCTAAGCTGTTACGGAATATTGTTCACTTGTATCTTAAATAATAGGTTGCATAAATATTTAGAAAACTCTGGCATGCTCTGTGAAGAACAAGCAGGGTTTAGAAAAGGCTATAGCACAACAGATCATATATTTAATCTTAAATGTTTAATTGATTTGTACTTACATAGAGGTAGAAAATTGTATTGTGCTTTTGTTGATTATCGTAAAGCATTTGACACTGTACGAAGGGCTTATTTATGGCAAAAAATGTTGAAACATTCTATAGATGGAAATATGTTAAAAATAATACAAAATATATACAGTAATGCAAAGTCTTGTGTAAGGCAAGGCAGTTCTTGTTCCAATTTTTTTATTTCAAATATTGGTGTACGTCAAGGTGAAAATTTATCACCTGTTCTGTTTGCCATTTTCCTTAATGATTTGGTTGAATTTATGTCACATGCCTATAATGGTCTTGTAGATATGAACACGGCAGCTCACTTATTAGATACTGACGAGATAACTGTTTATTTACGTTTGTATTTGTTGTTGTATGTTGATGATACAGTTATTTTAGCAGAGTCAGCTGCTGAACTGCAAGCTTCTTTAAATGCAATGTACTTGTACTGTCAAACTTGGAAGATGCACGTTAATTCTCTTAAAACAAAAGTTGTTATTTTTTCTCGCTCTAACATGAACACTGATAATTTACATTTTACTTATAATGGTGATAGACTAGAAATTGTTAGAAACTTTCAATATCTTGGAATAATTTTGTCTAGTAAAGGTACTTTTAATGACGCAAAGTCACATCTGGTACAACAAGCCAGAAAAGCTATGTATATATCTATATGGTG